TGTCTAGGCTATTCTTATGGTTATTTGATTCTTCAGATATTTGAATAGTAAGGATTATCATGTGGTAATTAATGGATTGCTTATGAGGTTTAAGCACTATTACACTTGTTGGATTTCAGGATTGTTACATGATTGCCAAAATTTTCTTTTTTAATGAAATTTAACCTGAATGTTATCTCCATTGTTTGAAAATTTTGATATATGGGATTGATAATACTTATAATTATTTTAATCGCAGAATATCTTTCTTTCAAAAAGATGGTATCATCCACCAATCTTTCTATTCTGACACTCCTTAACAAAATGTAGTGACTTAAAAGAAAAATTGTCAGCTTCTTAAAGTTAAGGAGTATTATTTTCTAGAATCAAGTGTCAAAAATATACTAGGGAGAAACAACCATAATTGCTATATATACAAATAACCTCAAGAATTAATAACTTCAAAAGTCCCATAAACTATCTAGCTAAATTCCTTCTCACAAATAACTTAATATCAAAATCTCTTTTAAAAATATTTGGGTGCATTACTTATGCCTCATCCATAAACAATATAGGGTAAATTTGATTCTAGAGCTCTCAAAAGTATTTTTATTTAATTTTTTTTTACTAAAAAAAGAGTACAAGTGTTATCAACAACAACAACAACATCAAGCATTTATCCCACTACGTGGGATCGGCTACATGAATCCTTTTTCTCCATTGTGTTCTATTACAAGTGTTATCATCCTCTCACCAAAAAAATTTCTCACTTCAAATGATATCACCTTTAATGAGAAGCAAAGTTTTTTCAATCCAAATCATCTTCAAGTGGAGAACTCTCAACTATAAGTTAAGTATGATGAATTTTATATCTTTCATCTTGATATTCTTACAGAATAAACTAAAAGAAAATTTAGATATTGTACTCTGTCAAATTTATACCAGAAGGAATAAATTCAACCAAAATTCGTAGCAAGTTCAAGACTTGAAACCATTATCATTTAACAATGATCTACCCATTATTATCTGTTCCCCTTTGTATCTCATCTCCTAATGTGCATCTTTTTGAAAAATTTGTACTCAAAGTCTTTCTTACAAATATAAGCTTTAATTTCATTACAATATTACAAATTTTATTTGAGACATTAGAAAAAAAAAAAAAAATCATGACTGAAGAGATGAATGATGTGGAACAAAATTATAATTGGGAGATCATTGAACTATCAAAAGAGAAGAAAGCTTTAAGATGCAGATGATTTTTTTTGGGTAAAATATAGATGGAAGCTTGGAATTGTATAAAATGAGATTGGTAGCCAAATAATATACTTAATTTTATGAAATTGATTAAAATTCTTTTTTCTCTTGTTGCAAAAATGAATACAATATGCATCTTAATTTCGCTTGCAACTAAGCTTGAATGGTCTATCGAGTAGTATGATGCAAAGAAGGCTTTCCTACATTGGGATGTTAAAGAAGAAGTTCATATACATCCACCACCTAGATTTAATAGTTCTTTTATAAAGAACAAAGTATGCAAATTAAAATAGCTTTGCATGACTTCAAACAATCTCCAAGAGTATGATTTTACAAATTCACAATAGTCTTGAATTAAACTGCATTTAAACAAAGCCATGGATATCATCCCTTCTTCATAAATCACTGAATTGATGCTTGAATCTTAGTGCTCATTATATATGTTGATATACTTATCATAGTTCATGATAATAGACAAAAGAAGCCTTTCAAGAAAAAAGCTTGCTGAAAAATTTGAGATCAAATAGTTGATCAGGCTCAAATACTTTGTGGGAATAGAAGTTGTTCAATCATAGGAAGAAATATTCCTCTCTTAGCTTAGTTAGATTTAGTGTTGAATTTGAATTTAGAGTCATTGCCTAAGGAATTTATGAGCTTTTGTCGATCAAAATCATTTTGGAAGATTTAATGGGAGGAGATAAATAAGATATGTTGTAATAATAAATATATCATAAATATTGCTTGTAATATAGTACAACATGATTGAACCAAGATGTGGAGCTGGATAGCCATTTCTTAAAAAAAAAAAACTCGAAAGTAGATTGATTTGCACTCTATGTATGCTAACAAGAAATCAACTCGTAGATATTCTCATCTAAGGACTTTACAACCACACATTCAAAAATATTTCAAGTAAACTTGGAATGTTATATTTGCATCATTTAGTTTGATGCGGAGTATTGAATAATTGTGGGATCCGCAAGTCATTCTTGGTATGGATCATTCAGCATACGGATTAAGAGTTCTAATAGTTAGATCAATCATCTTATAACCCTAATATTGCAGTTAATGTATTTTATTTTTTTCTAGTCATCAACCACTCTTAGTTAGGGCTGCAAGCAAACCAAACGTTCGAAGAGCTACTCGTTGCTCGGTTCGATTAAAGTTCGTTTGTGATCGTTTAACTAACTAAACAAACAAACTTGAACAATATTTTTAATAATCGATTCTTAAATAAACAAGCTTGAACACTAATGTGTTTGATTAATTTATGTTCACGAACAACATCATTTGCATGAACAAGCTCGACATTAAGCTCGATAAGAAGCTTGATAAAAGTTCAATTCGTGTTCGATTTAGAACTCGTGAATAAGCTCGATAAATATATTGATATAGATTAATCATATTTTCATTTTAAATGGACAACTGCTTTTATTATAAATTTAATTTCATTTTATTTTATACCTTCAATAGAATGAATTTGTTCATGAACAAGAGACATTTCACATTTGTCAAAATTTGCTGGATTGTTTGTGTAAGATGTTCATGAACAAATATAAGATGAATCACATATCGTTTGTTCGTGAACGAGCTCATTTGGTAGCTCGAAAATACTAGTTATTTATATATACATAGTCTTAGTGACTTTTTTTTTCTTTATCATAACTAGCATTAATGTATTTTTGTTGTAAGATTTTTATAAAAGTTTATATATACTTTTATATTTTATATAGAATCAAATCATAAAAATCCTAAATAATTTTTTTCCCTTTTCTATTTTTCTACAATTATCTGTAATCAAATTGAGAAGGCCAATCTTATCTAATTGTCTATTTATTATCCTTGATTAAATATATATTTCTTTTGGTTTTCAATGTTGTGTATGCAGATAGGAAGTTTTATTATTTTGAGTGCAGTACAAGTGTGACTAACTAATTTTAGGGGACTCATCTCATTATATCAACATGATGCTTGAGTTTCTTGATATATATATATATATATGCATGTTTCCAATTCTTGTTGATACTTGAGAGTTGCTCGATCATTACATTATGTTTAGGTTCCAATTCCAATATTTGCAGTTTGCATTTTGATAAAACAAGTTGTTTATATATTGGTTTGTGATACATGAATCCCAAGTCCTTTTATATGATTTATATGTATCATATTATTCTAAATCCCTAATCTAAGATGTCCTACATCAAAGATTACTCTTTACAATAACAATATCAAATCTTTATCTCACTACATGTGGTTGGTAAGATTGCCTTTATTCCATAAAAAATTACTGTTTGTTAGATAATTTACATAGCTGATTGTATGACGACTGCATGTTTGAATTTTAAGTCAACGCACAGATTGTTTGTTTTAATTTTAGCAACTCCATCGGTGAAGCTAACGAATCAGTATTTTATTTTGCCAGTTATGGACCAACCATACACGAGTTTCAGAATTGTTGATACCTCCAATTGATATTGGATTGACTGCATAACATTCTGCGTATGAAGGTTTTTTGAATTAGTAGAATTGAACGTCCTTTTATATCAGGACAAGTAGGCAGTTGCCAACAGACAAATAGAATTTCAAAATTATAAAGGATAGAAAAAGCTATTCTTTTCAATTCTTTTGCTTATTCCAATTTAACCTCTCTCAATCTGAATACGAGCAGATTTTCAACTTAATTCTAATTAGAAAATTCTTAGCAAATTTGCCAGTCACATGCAAAATTAATCATCATCATTAGCTTAATCTTCCCAACTAGTTGGGGTCGGTCATTTTAATCATATGAAACACAATCTTACCTTTATTTATTTCCTTGAATACGCTGCCTGTCGTGTGTTTCCTGACACCAGGTTACATTTTATAGGTCAATGCATGTCCTGGTCTGTTCACTAGTCACTTAGTGTTAGACCAGTCCAGCCGGCCCTAGGCAAGGGGCTGGCCAAGTTTACATGAGGCAGACCAAGTAGGTTCGCCCCATAGGAATTGCCGCCCAAGGCAATTGTGGATCCCACTTGGGAATCCAATTAGGAAGGAGGGGGCGGCTAGGGCTGGTGGGAGATTTGGCTTGTGTTGTTTAAGTTATGCTTTAAATAGGAAGTGAAAATTAGGGTTAGGATTAGCTGATAATTGGTGGCTGCCTTTTGTGTCTTTGTGCTTGGCGTCTTGGGCTCTAACGGCTTTGAGGGATTGGGAGAGATAGATCATCTTCTATAATTGAGGATCAATTGTATCTTAATATTTTCTTTCCGTTATATTTGATTATTGCAATAAAATTGTTGTTTTTCTGGTTTTTCCTTGGAGTTTGATGGATATTTCTCGCTGTTTTTCAAAGATTGATAGGATTTTCTTGAGATCTTCAAATGTTTCCTATCACTTAGTTACAAAATAATGGATGCACACATTACAGAAAAAAAATTTGCTCAAAATATTTTGATCAAATTTAATCATGATGAATATCAACATTATTGAATTTACTGTTGAGATAACTATAATATAAAAATTAATTGTTTATTTATATATTGCACATCTTAAAGAGAATTGAATTACTTTGAAATACATCATGATTAAAATTTGATGCGAAGATTTCTTCTGTGGTATAGGTGCTTGAACTTACATATCTAAACAAAATATGGGTTTGCATTGACATCATTAGTCAAAAGCTAAACTTAGGATGGAATTTTGTATTCATTTCCTCTCAAAGTTGTTGTTTCTTATTCTTCAATTTCCTTCTTGCGGTTTCAAAATTCTTTGGTGATGTGATGCAGCTCATTCTGACACCACCATTGCGAAGATGCTTGTGGGAAACAAATGTGATTTGGAGGACATAAGGGCTGTTTCAGTCGAGGAAGGAAAGAGCCTTGCAGAAGCAGAAGGGCTCTTCTTCATTGAGACTTCAGCCCTGGATTCTACAAACGTAAAGGCTGCCTTTGAGATAGTCATAAAGGAGATTTATAACAACATCAGCAGGAAATCATTGAACTCTGATTCCTACAAAGGGGAGCTGTCCCTTAATAGGGTAACCCTTGAAAGCAATGGAACTGATGGATCAAAGCAAGGATCAAGTAAGTTTACTTGTTGTTAAGATTCTTAAAATTTTTCTACTTCAATAGTGTTCCCAATGATATTCTCCAATGGAACTTCTTGTGCTTGTGTATTTTATAAGCGTTGATTTGTTTTGGGTTTGCATTGTTTAAATAATAAGATCAATATACTATTGAATTTCTGTATCATATAGACCAAACTCTATATTGCATTGTGGTTTAATAAAATTTTATAATAGAATTGGTATGTGATTGCCATTTTTATGTGCGCATTTGTTGTACTTAAATAGTGTCAATTTCTAGCTGGAAAAACATCCAAATTGCGGTGTGAAAGCTTCAAATATGAGAGAATGGTTTTATACTGGCCAGATTTTTTGAAGAACGACAATATAAAAAATTGCAGTAGACAGGAATGTTTTGCTTCCAGAAAATTTTTTTTTTTCTGTTGTTCTTTTTCTCAGTCATTACACATTTATGCTGCCACTTGAATTTAATGGAGTCTTCTGTAAACGGTATTTATAAGCTTCTGTATTCATGTCAACATTTGCTATATGAACAAATGCTTGTTTTAGCATTGCATGATAACTGTTGCATCAGCACTTATAATTGCATCGAGTTCAAAATGATTCACATAGTTTTTTTTTTCTCTTGTACAATGAATGAATGTTCAATAGGAAAGGAAAGAAAAAAAAAAAAGATTTAAATAATTTTCTTGTTACAAGATGTAGATCACCATTCCATTTTGCATCCATCTTTACAAAAGGCTAAGGCTTCGGTTGGGACGGCTTTTTTATTGCTTTTTAGGCTTCGTTTGGGACGGCTTTTTTAATGCTTCTTAAAATGACTTTTTAGTACAAAAATTAAAATTTCTATACAAGAAAGTCGCTTTAAGAAACAGTAAAAAAGTCATCTCAAACGAAGCCTTAAAGCAACTTTCTAGTAAAAAAAATTTAATCTTTGTACTAGAAAACTGTTTTAAAAAACAGTAAAAAAGCCGTCCCAAACAAAGCCTAAGAGGGTAACATATCCATATTGGATCTCCATAAAAGAGGTTGCTCTGAGTTGTTAGAGCCTTATTTAATTAATTCTTCATTTGAAATAGCCTTTTTATTCATATATAAAGCTGATATATTGTAAAACTAAATGTTTAGTATAATTTTTTTAAAACAGTGAAAAAGTCTTCAAAGAAAAATTATAATTATAATATGAATAGTGTCAATTTCTTGCTGGAAAAACATCCAAATTGCAGTGTGAAAGCTTCAAATATGAGAGAATGGTTTATACTGGCCAGATTTTTTGAAGAATAACAATATTCTGATTAGTTACTTGAGCATTTTTTGCAAAAATTGCAGTAGGCAGGAATGTTTTGCTTCCAGAATTTCTTTTTTTTTTCCTAAAGTTGTTCTTTTTCTCAGTCATTACACATTTATGCTGCCACCTGAAATTAATAGAGTTCTCTCTGTAAACGGTGTTTATAAGCTTCTGTATTCATTGTCAACATTTGCTATAAGAACAAATGTTTGTTTTAGCATTACAAGATAACTGCTGAATCAAGTTCAAAATGATTCACACAAGTTTTTTTTTTCCTCTTATACAATGAATGAATGTGCAAAAAGAAAGGAAGAAAAAAAGATTGAAATAATTTTCTTGTTACAAGATGTAGATCAACTTTTCATTTTGCATCATCTTTACTAAAGACTAAGAATTGCTAGATACCGTTAGGTATCTAGTACTTGCCCAAACGGACTGCGCACCTAATAATTTTTCCCAAAGAGAGGAAAAATTATTAGGTGCGGAGTGCAGACGGGGTGAGAACCGTCTGCACAGACACAGAGTACCGAGCGGTACCCAGCGGTACCGAGTGGTACCGAACGGTACCGAACACTGTTTTATACTAGTGTGCAGACGATTCTCCCGTCCGCACTCCGTACCTAATAATTTGGAGAGAGACAACTCACAAGAGCACAGATGCGACAGCTAGGCAACATCCACCCAGCCACACATTACATTCCCCGTGATTCACCCCGCCCGTGACTCCCCTTCCCCTCCACCATTAATCTCTCTCTCTCTCTCTCTCTCACACACACACACACATACACACAGTCTATACATACTCCCGAGCTCCATTACTCCATCAACATCCCTCTCCCCCCACTCTCTCAACAATATGGCTTCCACCGTCCGCGCACAAGCCATACTATTACTCGCCGTGTTGTCACTAGCCACCGCCGCAACTTCCCTCAGTATATGCAACATGAGCACCGATGATCTCGCCGAATGCCGGCCGGCGGTGAGCGGGCCGAGCCCGAGCGAGCCCTCTACGGCTTGCTGTTCAGTATTAGAAAAGGCCGACCTTCCCTGTCTCTGCACCTACCGTAGCTCGCCACTGCTACCCTCATTCGGCATTGACCCCAACCTTGCCTTGCAACTCCCACGCAAGTGTAGCCTCTCTCCGCCTGCCGATTGCTAACTCATTAGTCATCCCGTCGCCGCCGCCGCCGCCTGCCCTCCGGCTCGGCATATCTTCTCAGTCAATCTCTCTGTATGGCTTCCGATGTGTTTTTGTATGTGTTTTAGTACTGCTTGTGTATGTGCGTGTTATGTTTGGCGTTTGTGTTTTGTAAGGATAAAGGATTTGCTTTGTCTTTTAAAAAAAAAAGATTTAGCTCACAATATAGTAATTTTCTTTAAAATTATTTAAAAAATATATTTTCTTAAACTATAAGATATTTTAAAATTATTTAAGAAATATTTATTCTCGGTTAACAAGACAATGGCTAAGAAAGTTATAAATTATTTATTATTTGCAACATAAAAAGTACTTTCATTCTATGAATATGAGTTTACTTGAAAGTTATAAATTGACTATTGTTATAAAGAAGAGGATGCTCAGGTAGATGAGTGGTTTTATTCTTATGTTTCGTTTGGGATGATTGTCTTACTGTTTTTAAAATAAATTTTTAGTACAAAAATTAAAAATTTTGTAATAAAAATATTTTTTAAGAAACAATAAGGAAAACGTCCCAAACGAAGCCTTAGAGATAGTATGTGAAACGGGTGTATACAAGAAAAGGTTCGCATAGCTCCATTGGTAAATAAAATTAGAGAGTCGACTTAGATGGTTTGGTCACATAAAATGTCGGCCTTTCTAATGACTCATTTAAGAGAGTAGATGCATTAGATCTGACCTATATTAAGAAAGATGTGATTAGAGAATAGTACAAAATAATATTTTTTTTATTAGGTTTTATATTAGAATTTGATTCTTAATATGATATAATGGAGAATAATGAGTCATATAGTTGACCACATATAGTGAGATAAAGATTTGTTGTTGCTGTTATTGGGAAAGTGATAGTATAGAAATTAATAATTAGATGTACTCAAATACAATCATATCAAATGACAGTAAATTAAAATCAAATTCATATCACATAAAATAAGATATAATAAAGACTTATTTTAGGAAGATCAAATAATATTTATAGACATTAATACTAAAAGGAGCCCAATATTTTTTTATTTCTTTTTTTTCTTTTTTGCTAAAAGGAGCCCAATATGATTGAGTTTAAATAGTATAATTTATGTTGATGTTGGATCCAAATTTGTTGTGGATGATATCCGACCCTACATGTGTGAGAATGAAGAGGCCAATCTACTATAAAACATATATAGTATAAGGGCTCAAGATGCCAAGAGTAAAAAAATCCAAATTACTTCTCTTCATCATTTATTTATAGAGGTCTAAGCCTCTAAGGGTTACAGGAAAATCTGCATTTGTAAAGAAATAGAAAATACAACGCTTTAATGACTCATTCTGATTGGCTTTGACAAGCATTGCCTCCTCGTTGGTTGAGAGGAGATTGGCTTTACATAGCCTGGGTAATCTCTCTCTAACTTTCTAGGCAAGTTTAGTTGTACAAAGTCTTACGGGCCAATGTGCACGGGCAAGTATATTAGTGAGTTCTAAGCTGGATGGGCTCGTAATGGATAGATGCCTTGAATGTCGCAGACTTGTGTTGGAGCTTCATATCACCTAGGGAGGCCGAGTGAGCATGAGTTATAGAAATGATGAGCTTCATAGTCGGATGATTAAGGTAGGGTGAGCTGAGAGTCCCATGAGTAGAGAGGCTTTCCTCTAAGTGAGATAGCGACCACAAATTATTATACCTTGCTTTGGATGATGGTGAGTAGCTCTGACGACCGATCTTCTTTTATAATAAGAGTGACGAGTACTATGATCCATGAGGACCCTTGATTACCCCTATAAGAGGCTGACTTCCTTAAGCGCTTCCTAGCTGGTCGGATCTGATAATCCTTGGGCGAGCTTCATTTTGGGGCTCGTTCGGTGTGATTAACTTTCATCACGATTTGTCAAATACCTGTTTGACACCTGAAAGATACATGAGAATCTACAATTAAGCATTTTAGACTGCTTGAGTTGGCATTAGGCCTAAAATTAATCTAAATTAGGCCTGCTTGAGACGAGTTCTCTTATAGATTGATGCATTCGAGACCAACTTGAACCAACCTAATTTAGCTTCAAGCATGTCTACTTAATTTGATTTGAGTTTTCAAAATATTTGAATGCACGTGATAAATTCATTTTAAAAGTAGTACAATACAATCTTTTCACATATAATCTTAATGTTAAAGTAAATTAATGGAATTGCAAACTCATCTTATACAAACCAAATAACAACAAAATAACTTTAGAGAATCCTTTTTAAAAGTCGGGAGACTTACTTTGGCTTAATCCAGGTCTTTTCCAAGCTTTTTAGGCTGCGAAAATAGGCCAACCCCTCCGACTACGAGTCTACGAGCATAGACGGCTGTAGGCAAGAATGCCAACCTGTTCACGTATTTGGTTTTCTTCTCATTTTACGGCTAAGGCTTCGTTTGGGACAGCTTTCTTAATGTTTCATAAAGCAGCTTTTTAATACAAATATTAAAAAATTTATACTAAAAAGTTGCTTTAAGAAGAAGAAAGAAAGCCGTCTCAAACGAAGCCTAAGTCTTCGATACCTAGATGAAATTAATTAAATAATTTTTTGCCGAAATTTTTTAAGCAATTGTATTTAAAAAGAAGCATAAATATATTGCCTCGTAAAATAGTTTTTAAAAACTTTAAATTTAAAAAAAAAAAAACCTTGAAAAAGAAATTAGTCATGCTTGTGTAAGCTTCTATAACAAATTTGTGTAAGCTTTTAGATGGAAATACATACATATCATTATATTCTTTCAATGCGAGTTATGTAATGCGCTCTATATGATACATGAGTCAAGGCCTTCCCCATGCAAAAGGGCACCATTTATAATCGACTATAAACACTAATTGAATCATTTTAACTGGACCAGACCCCATGGGTTACCCCATTTTCAGGGTTTTCTATGTAAAAATCTGTGTCTATTATGACTCTCGCACCCTTTCACTCTCTCTCTCTTTATTTGTCTGTGCACTGGATCTTCGTTTAAAGCTAAGATATTAAGATTTTTATCTCTTTACTGGCTCAAATATTCTAGTCCTCAACAATATGTATTTTAAGATTAATGTAAAATATGTATAATCTGAAATTTATTCTATACATAGAGTTACTACTCGCTATTCAAAATATATCTGATACATCATCACTGCAAAAAGTAAAGCATTCATCATATACAATTGTAAATATGCCAGCTAGAATTTGCTTGAAGAGAAATTGAGAGCACGGACAGCCACTACGGATGTCAATAAATGACCCGATCTGGGCCCTACCAAAATAATTCGAGTTCGAGTTGACTTATTTAATAAATAGGTTGGGTTCGTGTCGTAGTATTTCAACTCGTTTATTAAATGGGCCATGTTTAGATTGACCCATTTTAACACCCCTAGTCAGCACAATCCAACAAATTCATATGCATAAACAAAAGCACCACATCATTTATCATTCCAAATATTTCCCATAATCTTCTATCACATCTAGGGCTGTCAATATTTGACACGACACGAAAACCCGACCCGGAAAATCCGGGTTGGACCCGACCCGATTTCAAAACGGGTCGGGTTCGGGTTCCAGAAATTGACCCGTTTAAAAAACGGGTCGGGTCCGGGTTGACCCGGCGGGTTGCCG